ATTAGATGATTAGAAAAACAAAATGGTAAAAATATGGGTTAAGACTAAGGTGTTAACTTTAATTAGATATTTTTATTAACCTCTAAGTGAGGATGGAAGGATAGCTACATAGAATCAAGCCTGTGAGCATACTTTATAATGCATAATGTGTGCTTTTGTGCCTAAAGCTAGATATTTCTCTAATTAAACCTGACACTGGAATAATGAATGGCTCAGTTTGACCAGAGTCAGACTTGATTGACAGTGCAAATTCTTAAAATATACATACATGTGTGTGTGTGTGTGTGTGTGTATATATACATATATATGTATTTTTACATACATCATCACTTATGAAAGATCAGATACTATGCACTGTGGCTAAATGGATACAGATGTAAAGATGAATGAGTTACTGTAGGTACTGAATGTATGATGCTTTGCTAGCTTTGCATTGATTTCCAGTTTCTTTTCTGAGAGATGTCACTTTGTATGCAGTGCATGCGGTGCTAGTGCCTGGCTTAATAAAAGAGGGGCATGCTTCTGACTGACCTCAAGCAACTGACAGAGGTGGCGGTGGTAGTGCTCACAGATATTGGTTCAGTAGTAAGCACTTGACTCCTGAAAGACCAAGTGAAGCTTTCACAAAAACTGATCAAATGCTTTAAGGTTACAATGTTTCAGGCTTACTAATTTGTCTAAAACAAACTTATTTCAAAATGCATTAATTATCCTGTAACTTCCAGAAATTGTGTACAGTGTCTAAGAGGACTGCAATTTATCTACCATCATTCTTGCTCTGCCCACTTTAGATCTTGGTCACTGTCAAAGACAGGCAGTGCAGGATAAACCAATTCTGATTCATTCAACATGAGCGATTCTTAGGTACAAAACACCATTCAAAACATTTTCCTAGATGAAAAGATAAATAATAGCCCTTACCCTCAAGGGTCTTACAACTTGCCAAGGGGAAAAAGACATGCACAGAATGACTGCAGCGCAAGGCAGACAATGAGGGCTGCCAGATGTTCAGGGAGAAGGAGAAAAGTGTGAAGAAAACACAGAACAGGCTGCCTTCCACAACCAGCCCAGAGACACTTACTGTGAAGTGAAAGTGGAAAAGAAGCAGCATTACTTGCTACTCACCTCTCTGCCTACTTTTTGTCACCAAGTTCCTAATAAGTACTCCAAAATTAGAAATTAGGTAAGTATATAGTCTTTCAAAAGCACCCTGAGGTTCTGGTCCTTTAAAACTAGAATCCGGATACTTGTGTCCCCAAATATGACTTTTTGTTGCTTCAGTGGCTTTTTTCCCTTGAAAATTAGGTGATGTGACCTTAACCAGATACGTATTCCAGCTGTGTCATGTTTTAAATCATGTGTGTTAAAAACAGGAGAATTAAAAGAGGGTCTTTTTTGCTTCAAACAGAAAGAGAAAACTAATAACTTAAAAAGTCCAGGGGCAATTCTTTAAGTACGACTAGATTCAGGAGCTCAAATGTTTTACCCCAAACATGTGTGTATGTACCTCTATTTACATATTTCTGTTACTTTGGCATTCAAATATCTCCCTGTTCCTGTGAAAGCCACTGGCATCGAATATGAACTTCATAGAATACCTTCAGTGTTATAGGATTGGCAGGAGAAAGCAGGAGCATCATGGAATAAGGTTATTCAAAATGTACATTCTTGAAGCAAGACCTCAAATCTAAAGGTGATTGACACATTGTGTTCACAAGTAGATTTACATATGAATTACAGCATGGTTTCCTGGACAGTGACAGTAAAATATTTTATTCTTTCAAAATTAGGGGAGTGTAACAATTTTCCAAAAGAGAAACACAAAATGTGTTGAGGAAGGGGGCCCGGTGTTTATGATTCCCACAGAGATAGCCCTCTGTGATTCTGGTAGCCCTTGGTCTTCACTCTGGCTGCCCCAGCAAAAATGCAAGGATCCTCCCTAAAGAGCTCAGGTTGTGCTCTAGGCTCATCCTTGAACTCAGCACTATAACCTGAAGGATCAGATGCTCTGACTATATTTCTTTCTTGATTATAGAAAGTGAGGTCAGTTCTCAAAACCACAGCATGATGCATATCCAAAAAGAAACTGACGGACTGTCCCCAGAAGTAGATGGAATAGATGTTAAACAAAAAATAAAACAAAAAGTCCACTGCAGCAGAAAATGTTGGTAATAATCTTTGGATAGCTTTTTGCTGGTTTCCTACACATAAAGAAACAGGCAATATTGCCCTAGAAAGAGCACCGTGGCCAAAGGGACATAGCCTATTTTAACGGAGGATTTGAGAATTAAAAGATAACTTGGAGAGCATCCAATTCAATCTCATCATTTTCCAGATGGGGAAACTTAAATCTAGTCAGAGAAACAAAAATGCCAATGGCACACAGGTATTTGCTGGTAAAGTTAACTGTCTTTTGCCTTCAAAAATGCAACAGTAATTTTCACCATCAATTAAAAAAAAAACTAGCCTTGTTTCTAATCCCCCCCCCCGTCGTCTCCATCCTCAAATCTCTGTTCCTGGAGCACTCCAACTGAAAACCTCAGCAAGAGTTGAATTAACTTTTTGAGTCTATCCTTACCCCCAAAACAGGAACATTAAATTCCTTTATATAGATATTAGAGACACTTGGTACTTTGATGGGCCAAGTTTGCCTAAGGCTGACAGCCTGGGGCATCTTTGATAAAGCCCTTTCTAGTTGCAGTTCAATCTTCTTTGGCATCCTGACTTTGCCCCCCCAAATTCCCAGCAGAGAAAAAAAGAGGCATTCCTAATCCAGAAGATGTCTTCGTGTTCCTCTTCCTCCTACCATAACTCTTTCCTGCTCCTTTCTTCCCGCAAAATCCTGTCACCAGCTCAGAAGCATATCTGGAACAGGTAGGAGGGAGCCTTACACCTGTCAGCACTCAGAAAGAAAGTGTGCTCTTCTGAGTTCAGAGCCGCTCCACCTCCTAAGAAATGGAAGAAAAGCACCTAGACCGAGGTTTCTGTCAAATCTGCCGGCCTGGCGACCACTGCCAGGTTAGCCGGCTCTGACACTAGGAACCCTGAAGACCAAGGGTGCAGTGAGTGTCCTCAGCTTCTGCTTCCCTCCAGCCAAGCCCAGAGCCTGGTCCTGGAGAAATCTTTGTGTAAAGGTTGTGTATGTCTTGAATCAGACTCGTATGTGTGTGTGTTGTGTGTGTGTGTGTGTGTGTGTGTGTGTGAAAAACTAGCATAGGCAGAGCAGATCAGGAGTAGACTGGGTTCTCCCTGTGCCTCTCTTTCCTGGATTTGCTCATCTCCTGACTCCCTCGCATTTTTCCTGAGCTAGTAGCCAAGGCTCCGGACCTAGGGATTGGGAACAGTCAGCACCAGACAGCCTTGCCTCATCCCAGGGCTGATGCCACCGGTCCTCCGTATGTGGGTGTGGGTTTAAAGTAGCAAGAGGCTTCCACAGTGAGTTGGGGGTAAGAGCTCCGCCCTCTCCCGCGACCTGAAAAAAATCCCTAGATTCCCCGGGGACCACGGAACTCCCATTGCGAGGCAACCTTGCTCTCCCCAGCCGCCCACCCATTTCGCCCCTTACCTCAGCACGCTGCCCCTCCCTGCGTGATGATGCAAACCAGTGGGGAGGGCGGCGCTGAGAAGGGTGGGGAGAACTGGAGAGCAGGCGAGGGAGGTAGGGAGGGAGTGGGAGGAGGAGGAGGAGGAGGAGAGGGAGCAGAACGACCATTTAAAGCGATAGCAATCCCTGCTCTCTCCCCAGTGCTGGGCTGGTGGAGAGCGCGAGCGGAGAGCCGGGCGGCGTGAGCTCGGCGCGCCGGCTGCAGAACCCTAGAGCGCAGGGCGCCCACGGCTGGCAGGCGCTGCGGGACACCCCCAACCCTCTGGCTGCCCCTTCGCGGGGGCCCCACCCTCGTGCCTGCAGAAGTCCTCGGGCTTTCCCGGAGGATCTCACTTGGAGGGGCCCGGACCTCAGCGAGCCTACCACCCCGCTTCCAGCGCCGCCGCCGCTAGACCCGCAGCCAGAGCAGCATGGTACAGCTGGGGAAGCTGCTCCGCGTCCTGACTTTGATGAAGTTCCCCTGCTGCGTGCTGGAAGTGCTCCTGTGCGCGCTGGCGGCGGCGGCGCGCGGCCAGGAGATGTACGCCCCGCACTCGATCCGGATCGAGGGGGATGTCACCCTCGGGGGGTTGTTCCCGGTGCACGCCAAGGGTCCCACCGGAGTGCCCTGCGGCGACATCAAGAGGGAGAACGGGATCCACAGGCTGGAAGCGATGCTCTACGCCCTGGACCAGATCAACAGTGATCCCAACCTGCTGCCCAACGTGACGCTGGGCGCTCGGATCCTGGACACTTGTTCCAGGGATACTTACGCGCTCGAACAGTCGCTCACTTTCGTCCAGGCGCTCATCCAGAAGGATACCTCCGATGTGCGCTGCACCAACGGCGAACCCCCCGTTTTCGTCAAGCCAGAGAAAGTAGTTGGAGTGATTGGGGCTTCGGGGAGTTCGGTCTCCATCATGGTAGCCAACATCCTGAGGCTTTTCCAGGTAGGGGGGCGCTCCCTTCGGGACGGAACACAAAGTGGCTCCCTGCGCTGGTAACCTTAAAACTGGCTTGGACTCCAGGGATGCGCAGTCAGGTCAGCCCTCCCGCGTTTCCACCCTGGAGGTCTAGCCCGATCCCTCCCACCCCACCCGAGGAGGTTCCTTCCCTGTTTGGTTTATTTCTCTTCCATCTCTCCCCTGTCCACGGGCCACTCCATCCGACTTGACATCCTGGATTTATGATCCCGTTTACAAGAAGCAATCTGCGAAAAACAAGGCGATGATTTAAATGGGTTTGCATTAGAGTGAAATATGGTCCGAAAACAGGCTTGTAAAAGTGCCCAGCTCCTAGGAGAACTGGTTAGGCGCATGGAATATGAAAGATGAGATGGTGCCTCAAACCGGGCATTTCTCAACTCCCCGGCTTCGCACCCATAAGCCGCAGGAGACCTCAACTCCTTTGGAGAATTTCGAGAGGACAGAAGGAGGCACTTCTTAAACTGAGGGGTCAGTTTTAACGTGGATGTGGACATTAATTGCCCACCTCTGGGTTGGATTTCTGAACGGTAGAGCTAGGAGCCAGAGGGACCAGGACCCTGACCAGAAGGGGAAATGCCATCCGCAGACTTGACCCTTACCCCATGGGTTTTCTCCAGGCAATTTTTTGCACCTTGTAAATTGCATTTGCAGTCCGGCCACGAGCAGGAGCCGAACTATCAGTTTCTACTCTTGCTACTTCAGACCTCAGCCCAGAGATGAGCTCATGCTAACTGCAAAACAGAAATCGCTTTCACTGCCCCCCCCAGCCCCCTCGCCCTCCACCTCCGTTACGGAGCCAGCCGAAGCCCACAAACCCCAGTCCTCCCATCTGAGCTCCAAGGATAATAATTTTTCAGAGCTAGGCAAGAAGACTCTTGGGGCAGTGGTGTGCGCTGCGCAGGGCCCCGCGGATTTTCTCCTCCGGTTCGGTTCCGGGGTTTCAGAGGGCCAAGGCAGAAGTGGGGTAAAGGCAAATCCGGACTGAGGAGAGATGGGTTCTACCGCAGGCTCTCTTGCCTTTTTCCCCTACAACCCCTGCCCCATGGCCCCTGTGTTGCAATGGGTATAAATGGATGGTTTGAGGGTTCAGAAATTTTCAGGGTCTCTGAAATAGGGGGTTCCCTTGTTCGTGTTTCTTCTCCATGTGTCTCTCTTTTTCTGTTTCCTTGTTATTCTCCCCTTTTTTCCTCCCTTTCATCTTCTGCCTCCTTTCTCCCTCTCTATCGTGATTCATCTCCACTGGAGACCCCTCTTTCCCCTGAATGACTCTCTCTCCTCAGCAGTACCCTAGATGCTTGGGGGTACTACCACACTTTAAGAATTGGCTCCCTCTCCAGTGCTTTCCCTTAGGGTGTGGGTTTCAAACGGGGATCCTTTTGAGTCTTGGGTCAGCAACGCCTCCAGGAGAGCAAAGTTTGTGTTCAGGGAGGTGTGCTTATCCAAGGCTACACCTAGTATGACCCCTCTAAAGCTCTGAGCATCCCTGCCAACTCCGGAATGTGCCCGCATAGGGACCTCTAGATGTTTGCAATCCTGTAAGTGCTTTGATGGTTGACTTCTTTCTGGGTTACTTGCTATCAGGAAGAGCCTGAGGTTTGTAATCAAAATCTAGATGCACTTCCTTTTTGAGCTCAAAGCTGGGCAACTTGAGGGGCACTGCTGCAGAAAGGATGAGGTCAGAGACAGCACCTGAGAATCAGTTGGGAATTTGGACAATTTCCAGCATTTCCCTCAGAACCCTAGGGGTGGACTGGAAGGTATATTTTGTGTTTAGCATTTTGAAATGATTTTGCTGCCTTTTCCTCTCTTCACTCAAAGCATAAGCATTACTGCAGATGGGCCTGTCTATCTGAAAAAAAGAGTGAAATGCTGAAGTCTCCCAAGCAATTGCAGATTAGGCTCAGGGACTGTGCTTGCTGAGAAAAGATTCCAGGGGGAGCTGATGCCTCCTCTGATGTTTGAATCTGAGGCAACTCGAAACAAATGGCTGGTTCTCCCATTCCCTGAGCTGGGGAGGAAAGGAACTGAATGCCAGTGTGAGCAGTGTGGGTTGGGAAAAAAACATTCAGAGAAAACACTGTCATTTTCGTTTAATTTGCAAATTGCAGCGATTCATGTTGGATTGAACAGCTGAGGGAAAAAAGAGCCCCCAGTTTTCACCTGCGTTTGTTGCGAACAGACTGATAGGAGGATAGTACCAACTTGTAGCTTTTGCTGCTGCTGGCACTATAATGGTTGGTATGCCATCCTGGTTAACCACTGCCAACGTTCAAGTATTTATATACATCTTCCAGTGGCCTTGTTTTGTGTGTGATTTTAGAAGCTCCAGGCATACAAGTTCAACTCCTAGTTCTCCAGCTTCTATCAGTGTGCAAAATCAGGAGAGGGTAATGGCACACAGACTCATTTTTCATAGGCATGATCAACTAGGGGGAGAGAAAAAGAAGGGTAGTTCACTCTACTCCCTGATTTCATCATTCTGCTCAATTAAAATTGTCCTATATAAAATAAACTCCTCCAAATGATTAAATTCTGAGCTTTACAGTGATTTGACTTTTCTTTTTCTCTCTGATCCCTGTGGATTGCTGTGGGGATGGTGCCAAACTGAACACTTGAGATATAACTGCACAGAGAGATAATCCTCTAGCCTGGGGGAAAATACTTAAGTACTAAAATGGGGATTGCTGAGTGCTAGGGGTAAGTAGGGAGAAATGGGATAGTAACAGATGTAACCAATTTGGTTGCTTCCAGGAAAACCTGGGATGAAGTTCCCCCCCTGAAAATGAGGACCTAGGCTAGAATGACTACTTAGATGCAAATAATATCTTCAACTTGGAATTCTCATTTGCCTGCTGGTGTACCAGGCCCCAGATAGGAGCTGAACAACTCTTCTTGTTCTTCTCTATAACCACACTGAAGAGTTTAGTAAATGACAGGCAGGAATCATATCCAGTGGGTCTTTCAAATCCAGGAATTTGAGGCTAATGAAATTATCCTGTGGTCAGGGCTCTGCCAACTAGAATTAAATCATAGCCACTGCCCTGAAATACATGTTCAACCTCAAAGAAGCATCAGGGAGGAATTTCTGGAGATTTGTTTCTGAACCTGTGCAAAATAATACTCTCCTAATGCTAAGAAAGATTAAATATAAATTAATATTGACTATGAGTAACATTTTAAAAAAATAATCACAGAGTGGGGATGGCTTGCAGTGGAGAGGTTATATAATATGGTGACGAAAAAATGTATCTCTAATGACCTACTGGTTATGGATAATCAGATATATGTTTTTAGTGGAAAGTATTGGGAATATTTTCATCCAAGGCTTTTCTGTTACAGACTGGAGAGCAAACACTCTTGACAATATAAATTACTTTTGCTACATCTCGATTGTAAATGAAAGCTATTTCACATGTAGTGACATGGTCTAGGCTATAGACTTGGAATTGGATGGCATCTGTTCCACTTGCTTTTTACCCAAAAATAACTAGATTGAAAAAAAAAGCACCCTTATTGGATTATAATGCAAATTTCAGCCTGTAGACCTTGTAAAATAAGTAAAGTACATCTGTAAAGTTGTCAGTATTTCTCTCCCATTCACTGAAACTTGAATATAATCTCAAACTTTGGGGACAATATTTTACATATAAGTGCCTAGACTTTTCTTGCCTTTCTCCCTGCCCCTTCAACCTTATGTAATGGAATAGAATTTGGCTCATAGGGTAATATGGTATTACTATAGTGGTGAATTTTTTAAAGCAATTCTAACCTACACTTTTTAAATTGCATAAATATAGGTATCACTGCCACTTGGAATAATCTCTATAACAATCTCTGCCTCCACATTTACTGTGTTTCAGGAAATTTACCTAACAGATGGTGAGTGGGAAATTTTTAAAGGGGCATTTTTTCAAAGAGCAGAGAGAGAAGGAATGAACACAAGTGCATACTATATTTGAAGATGCCCTCGAATGTATTTTATGTATACACAAGCCATGTAATTTGGATGTTTTTGGGCATTTTTCTTTTCAATAATAATTGACACAATGGTTGTGTTCAACTTCACAAACACTTGGAGTTTAACCAATTACAAGTGCTCTATTTTCTACATGAATACATGTTGGATTTAAAAGACCTAGGTGCATTACCTGTGTGCTAATCTTTTAATCTTGTCACTTACACACTAAATTATAGTTAATAAATCACTTCACCTTCTTTTCTCATCTAATTTTTGTCTTTAAAAACGTGCTTACTAAAAATGTCATTTTTTTCCTTCTGTTTTTGGTTTTTGTTGCTTTGGCTTGGAGAAAACCTGCTCTTGTCAAAACTCCATGATATTGTATCTCAAGTTCCCAATTTGAATTTTCAGTGAGTTTGAGAGAACTTTTACAAGTTTGTTTTTTTTTTTTTCCTTTTTCTTTTCTATTTCTTTTTCTCTTGGTCATTAATAGTTAGTTAATTTCCCATGTTCATGTTTTATCCTTATTCTTTTGTTATTTCGCTCCTTAATTGTATATATTAAGGTTGGTAGCAGGGAAAATGACCTCTGAGGTTAACTTCCTGCATGATCATAGCACACAGGGCATTGTGGAGGAACTGTGGAGTTTACAGAGCAGCTGTTGCCTTTGTCTATCCAATGTCCTGTCCAGTCTCATACAATAGTGCTAGGCTTCTCTTTGGAGAAACTGCCAAATAATGACAGCTTGTCCATACCCCTGGCCCCAGGTCAAGCAAAGTGGGGAATTTGTTCAGTTGTGGGCACTAGACCTTGTCCAAACTAACCAGAATCCTCCTCAAGACATTTCTGCCGGAGATAAATAGGAAAGTTATATTCTCTCTGGGATTTTCTAAGCCCAGTGGCCATCCAACCCAAGGAGAGACTTTCTCCTAGCATAGAGTCATGCAGGGCTGAATGATAGAGAGTTGGAGCCCTGCTGATATGAAATTCTCAGAGCCCAATAGAG